GGTGAAGGTGCAGGTGCAGGCCCAGGTTTAGGTTATCATGATTGGAATGTGTGTGTGTGTGTGTGTGTGTGTGTCCACAAAAAACAAGTTGGCAGCACATTGATGGGCAATTGCATTGGAAAAAATGGATCCCACGGCCACTAAAATCGTTCACATAAAGTTAATTCAAATAGAGGTAAGGCGACACCTAGCTACAATTTGTTAGACTCAACCGACTGTGGGGAGCAGCCGCATGACGCGCGACACATGCTGGTTGCTCCATTCACTTTTGATATGCTTCAGGCACTTACCGTTAGTTGCTAATGCAAAATGGCTGACACCTTGCAACAACATTCAAAAAGTTCAAGAGAAATTTGTTATTATTAATTTTGAATTTTTTTTGGCAGTGCTCACGCCCCCATTTAACAACAAAAACGAAGCAAAAGAGAAATCGCTTTTTGCATTTTGCACGTTTTCGAAAAATAAAATCAAACAATTTGGAATGAATATATGTAGATACAGATATATGCACATATGTATATCACAATGTATAAAGTACATATGTACAACATTTATCGCAAGATGAATAAAATGTGTGCAAAAAATAAATATGCAAGAAAACAAAAACAAAAGTGAGAAACAACAAAAACAGCAAAATAGCAAAAAGGCCAAAAGAGGTGATGGCAAGTCAAGAAGGCCTTCACCCCAATAAATGTGTAAAAACAATTAAAAAACAACAAAAGCACGAAGAAAAAAAGCATTGCAAAAATAAAACCAACAAAGCCAAAAACAAAACACATGCGACGCAATCAAAATAAATATAACCAACAAGGAAAAACCATTGTCAAACGAAATATTAGATACGCTAACGCAAGTTGTTGGTACAATTTGAGTAGTTTCTGGCTGAAGAAACTGAAGACAAAGAATATATTCCCCATACAATACATTTTACAGTACAGTATGGAAACATTCTGTTTCAATTGGTTTATGTGCACCCAATGACAGCAATAAGGTTTAAGAGTTCAAGAGAATTTAAAAGTTTAAATTTGTATAATTGATTTTACAGACTTTCGGGATTCTTGTTATCCGGTTTCAAGGATTCCTTTACATACTGTCTCTTTAAAACAAATATATTAACTGGTTATATTGCCACTTATGAAATTCCCATAATTATAGATCAAGATAATCTTTACAGGGCACGCTTTACGTACACTGGACAGAGCTCAGGAAGCACCCCAAATACTTTCCACTGGCAGGGTATTCTACACTACCGTTATGCGTGCAGACATGTGGGTGGACTTCGAAAGTGAAATCCAAAGACATGATCACGCCGCCGACCAACAGATGGCGCCAATCAGTAAGTGCCTGGGCATTAAATATAATAAAATAAAAATTAAAAGAATTGTAACAAATCTACTGTGGCGGATTATATAACAAATGGAAGAGAAAAATACAAAGAAACAAAATAAAAAAAACACAGCCTTGATACAAAAAAAAAATACACGACAAAATGAAAAAAAAAAAACAATTACTATTATTTCCACATTAAAAGTCATTTTGTTGTTGCAAAAATTAATTCGTTTTTAATGCGTGTTGGCTATCTCTATCTTTAATTTTATCTCTCTCTCTCCCTTGGAAAAAACAACAAGTTTTGGATGTTTGTCTTTGTCCGATATTCGGGTGTTCTCGCATTGCCTCTAGTGGCCCCCAGGAAGTAGATAATAATGTGTGCAGAGACGCGATAAATGGCCAAATATATATCGTATGTACATCTATACATACGTGTGTACATACAGTACATACATACATATGTATGTACATTCATAAAATATATGGCATTTTCGTATTTTCTTTGAATTAACCATTACGTCTAGTACATTTATCTATAAAGTACAATAGACAAGTGATAACACCTATTAAGTGTCGCCAGGTATCTGTTTGTTTGGCTTAAGCTAAAATCCTCCAATCGGTTGAAAGTTAAGGCTTAAAGGGGGCACCCATTTGGTGGTGAAGACCAGCTTTACATTAAATATTTTTGTTGTTCCTAACAGCAACTGCCCTTGATTTAAAATCTTTATTTGTTTTGTTTTTAAAATTAAACCGGATATGAAGATTCACATCAGACCAACAAAAATAATTTCTATGGCATCAAAAATTCTGCATATTTATATAAATAATTAAACAATTAATTATTTGATCTGTTTTTCTATTCAGATTTATAGTTTAAAATGTCATCAATGGGTATCAACAGCTTCCGAACCAAAGGCAATTCTCTGCGTTTTTCTTTTTCATTTAATTTCGCACTGCAATCGATGCCGCTGCCGCTGCCTGCGTCAGCGTCGCAGTCAGATGTTTTGCTTCTTATAGAAAATTTCAAGGTCATGCGCGCAGGCAAAAACTTTTTGTTTTTCGTTTTTGCTAAATAAAAATGGATAGGCAGCAGAAACAGGGAGGTGGTGAGGAGGGAGTGAGATAGTGCAGGAGTGGAAGGGGGGGGGGGGGTTGAATATGAGCCGACGGGTTTACCGACCTGACCCGCCCTATCAACACGTGGTCAAAGCTCACTGTTTCCCATTCTCTCTCTTTTTCTCATACATGTGTACATATGACAATATGGACTTTTGAGAATGGATACCCCTCGGCAGAATGACGGTTCCTTTTCCACTTTATGATACATTGTTCCGATATAGATTAAAGTTCGAAGCACCAATGTACCACTACGAAAATGTTGTGTCTGGAGATGCAAATTCTTGTCCCTTCTAATTGGCTTTGTGGAAAAAACATTTGATCAGAACCAGTATACCTCCTCCGCCCGAAGGGTATAATAATTAATTGCACACTTTTGTTCTCCTTTTGCGGCTGTGCTTCGTTGCTGCTGCTGCCTTCATCTTCTTTGTTTCGCGAGCCAACGTGAGCCAAGTCGCGTTGACAAAAAGCAAAAGAAATAAACAAGTAAAAGCAAAAGCCAAAAACAATTTCATTTATTGTTTTGTTGTTGTGTATTATTGCACACAATTGAACACAAGCACAAGAGAGTGGGGAGCGCGGGAGAGCCCGACGGCACAGAGAGCGTGTGTAGTGCGGCGGTACAGTAGATAGAGTGCATAAGAGAGGGACAGAGAGAGAGAGAGGTGTGTAGTGTGGGGAGGTTGAGCGACAGGAAGAGAAGATCCATCAAGCAGCTATAAATAGTTTTGTTTTTTTCAGAGCCAACTGATGGAAGAAGAGCCGAGCCATCCATCCATGGATCCCTATCGGGACTCCGGCCCTCGCCCAACAACATATGGAGATCACATGATCAACCACTCCCCATAGACTCCCACCAATAATTCGAACAAGTGAGAAGTCGAGTGGCGAGTATTACGACTATCAGATGCTCCCTATCCACTCTGTGGATACATTTATACTTAGTATGTTTCTTGTTTTAATTTATAGAGGCAGAAGCAATCGTTCTTAACCATACCCTGCAAAACTAGAATTTTTAAAATTGATTCATAGGAAGGCAGCAGCGACGCAAAAGTGCAGTCGCTGTCGCAGCTGATGTTGGCGTTGCTGCTGCTTCTGCCGCTGCCACTGATTGCCGTTGATTAAGTATTAGTTCATACTTGAGGGGTGACCTTGAATAAGTTTACTAACATTTCGCATTTTCGGGGCGGTTTTCTTTCGCTGCTTTCTATATCTATGCCATGCACAGACCCTCACCCTCGCCCCCACACCACCCTTCTCTACCTGTTTTGGCAGCTGACGCAAAAGGCTTTCAGAAAGAGAAAGAACGAACGCTTTATTGTATTTCTAGGTTATGGTCAAGGCAACAAATACGTATATTTGAAGGCTAAACATTCAGAGAGAGTGATAAAGAGAGAGAGAGAGAGAGAGCGAGAGAGGGGCACACTCACCCTGGCACACATACTAATTTGTAGAATTCTTTGAGTGATAACTGTTTCTGCTCCCCCTTTTGCTGCTTTCATTTGTTTACGCGCTAGACCACAGGTAAGCGAAACGAGTGAGCCAGAAGCAGGGGAATGCAGCAGCAGGGGCAAGTGGAAAGTATATTTAATATAAGGTACGACTAGAAGCTCCGACAGACGCAAAGTAAACACGGCAAAAGCTAAGGCTAGTTGTGGGTTGCAAAACGACTCTCTCTCTCTCTCTCTTTCTCTCTTTCAGTGTGTGGTAAATGCAACTGAATCAGGTTTGCTCGGGCTCTCCCAGCAGCCTCCCTTCCATTGAATGTACCATGGTTAAGAACTTGGTGGAAGAAACTTCAGCAAAAAGAGAATCATAGGAAGAGGGAGAGGAGGAGAACTGCGCAAGTGCTGATTAGAACATTAGCTTGTGGCAGATAAAAGTCTGTTGAACTTTTGGTAAAGTACATTAAATTAAATATTTTTTATTTTGATTTTGTTGTTTTGCAGTATTTTTTTTTTTGAGCAGCAGCAGCAGCGACGCTGGCGTTGATTTTGGCGCTGCTTCCGCGTCAAAACAAACAAACAAGTCTCTCTTCCACGCTCGCTCTCTTAACCTATCTCTGGCAGCAGCGCTAGTAGAAGGTGCATATTATCAGGTGAAGTAATGCTATTCCCATGACTAGAGTGTCTTATACAATTTATAAAAGAAATCGGGAAGCTTGAAAATAGGTAAGGTAACTTCCAATGTAATTTGCATGGAAAGCTAAATCCAGAGTGCGCTCTTCAAACGCCCACCTTATATAAACACGTTTTGGCTAGTTTTCGCCGCTCTCCCGGCGGCTTGCACGTGTATGCGATGCTAAGAGACCAGCCACCACCGCTTACACGTAGGCTCCAGCGCTTAAGAATGGACCATAAAAGGGCTGAGGGACGGGAGAGAGAGGTGAATGACAGACATTCGAAGAAGAGAGTGGCGGTTGTGGAAGGGGAAGTAAATAAAGCGGCGTTTCTGCCGCCACTGACGTCAACGAATGGGGAGATGTGGCAAGCTTTTTTTGGAAAATTTTGTTCACAAGAAACCCATGCAATTATCCACAATACCTAACAATTTACCTGTTTTTGGGGCTTTCAATTGTATATTCAATATGTACACACATTCGTATGAACCACTGCATGCACAAACACACACATATAAAAATGCACTTTACAGTATTTTTCTCTTTCAACTTGAACACCGCAAAAATGAAAACATTATTTTGTAAGACGAATTAGCACATACTTATCGACTGACGAATTTCCTCGAGCTATAGATCAGGATTTATTCAAATTTTTGGATTTCAGACGCGGTTTTTGGTTTCGGGAAAAGTAAAAAAAAAACAAGAAAATAATTGTTTATTTTTGATGGCCACTGAGCTTAATTATCGATAAGACATACCGACATACCCTCGGAAATATACCATTGCATTTTCAAAATATACTGTAAATATACCGTAAATCTTAAATAATTTTCCACGATTTGTAAGTTCTATTTTATATTACTAGCTAGTTAGGAGTCTCCGCGCTAAAACTAGAATTTTATCCGATTTATCACTCAATTCTGCACAAGATAAGTTAGTTTTCACTATTTCCTTTTGCTGGAGTGCTTACAAATTAAGTTTAAATCTAAAAAGGTCAACCAACAAAAATGGCATGAAACGTTACGTGAGTGGGAATGGATTGCTACGTATTTGACAATTAGTTGCTTGTTGCTGTAGTTATGGTACAGTATGGGCATGTGCATTTCCGTAAATTAATAGAAACATGTCATGACTTTATTTTAAACTGACATGTTTGCCAATTTCCCATGTCACTTTATTAAGATAGATAATTCAGAGCGAAGTTTATTAATATACTTCAGTTTTCCCAACAAATAAAATGTGCAACTTGATAACCATGCAATTTTTAGTAGTTTTAATAGTTAAGCGCGTGATAATTCCCGGCATGTGGTCACACTTTGTTTCAAAATAAAAAATCACAAAATTTTCTTACCACACAACAATACCAAAATTTGAAGATTTACAATTCTTGTAGTGGGGGTGGATTTTATTTTGAATGGGTTTAATTTTCTATACCTCTTTTAAACGGGCACTTTGTTGGCGGGAATGTGATCTTCAGGGTGACCGTTTACGCTACATCACTTTTTCCTCGTCGGATGTCGCTGTCGATGATTACATGAAAACGTAGATAATCTGCGGCAAATGTGTAGTTAGCGTGTAATTGCCATGTAACCACAGCAAACCTTTTTTGCTGAAACCTTATTTTACGGATATCCAAAATGAAACTTAGTCCCAAAACGAAGATAGATTGTAGAAAATGCATTCATCCATTGTATATAATTATATATTTAGTGCTGAAGACCCCAGTTAGCTAGTAATATTGTACCGAACATGAAAACCGAGGAATATGACAGTTTCATCATTTTGATGTCAAGAACAAATTCACAAAAAAAACACAATAAACAGAAAACACAGGAAACACACAGCTCGTCAAAATTTTGCGTTCATTTCATAAATTATTTCTGGAGTCTGCACTCAATTGCAGGGGCATTGCGGCGTTGACGGTGGGCATGGAGTTGGACATGGAGGAGGCGGCTGTCGGCAGCCCTGGCATGGAGGCCAAGACCGGCATGGCAGCAGAAACAGCCGGCGATTCGCCGCCCAATGTAGAGAAAGTGATCAAAGTGGAGAAAGAATGTGCAAATGGTGAGTGAGCAAGCCAGGCAGATACATGAACACATGGCTAATGAATGAATCTGATTCGCAAAAGGTACAGGCTCGATGTCGGGTCCACCATCGCCGGAGCAGACTTGGCGTGGCGTGCCCATTGAGGACATACACCGCGGGCTACCGCTTTTCCAGCTGGAGCATATGGGTGCCGTTTCTCCCAGTAGCTTGCACCGCGTGATGCACAAGCATCCCATACGCGAGTCGATCGAGGTGCCGCCCCGTCCGTTCAAGGGCGCCGGCAAATGGGACTCGGACCATGTACGTCTGCCCTGCGCAACTGAGAGCAAATATCCACGCGAGAATGCCGATGGCGGCACAACGATCGGTTCCCGCTGGGAGATGATCGAGCGGGCACTCCTGCAGCCGATTGCCAGCAGCGAGCAGCTCCAGGATGCGATACTCTCCTACAACACAACGTACAAGGGCAAGTGGAACTTTCGTGCGCTGCACCAGCTGCTCGAGGAGGAGCTGGACGAGAGCGAGACGAAGGTGTTCTTCGAGGATCTCCTGCCACGCATCATCCGTCTGGCCCTGCGTCTGCCCGACATCGTGCAGGCCTCCCTGCCACTGCTTAAACAGCATACGAACAGCACGATCACACTCACCCAGCAGCAGATCTCCTGCCTGCTGGCCAATGCCTTTCTGTGTACCTATCCGCGCCGCAACACCCTCAAGCCCAAATCGGAGTACAGCACCTTCCCCGACATCAATTTCAATAGGTGAGCGGACTCAGCTTTAGCCTCAAATGCTCAACCCTCCCCAACCCCCCACAGGCTCTATCAATCCTCGGGCGCAGCAGTGCTGGAGAAGCTCAAGTGCATTATGCACTATTTCCGTCGCGTCTGCCCCACGGAACGGGACGGCAGCAATGTGCCCACCGGCTGTGTGACGTTTCTGCGTCGCAGCATCGAGCCGGACCAAACGACGATTTGGAATGAAGTGACAAAGCCATTGGGCGACGTGCCATTGCACGTGAATGCGGCTGGCACGATTGAGGACCAGGGCGTGGGCCTGCTGCAGGTGGACTTTGCCAACAAGTATCTGGGCGGCGGCGTTCTCGGTCATGGCTGTGTGCAGGAGGAGATTCGCTTTGTCATTTGCCCGGAACTGCTGGTAAGCAAACTCTTCACGGAGTCCCTTCGTCCCACCGAGGCGCTGATGGTGCTTGGTGCGGAGCGCTATAGCAATTACACCGGCTATGCCGGCACCTTTACCTGGTCCGGCAATCATGAGGATCTAACGCCGCGCGACAGTTCCAGACGCCGCCAGACGGCAATTGTGGCCATTGATGCGCTGCAGTTTGCCCATGCCAGACATCAGTATTGGGAAGATCTAGTGGAGCGGGAACTGAATAAGGCACACAGCGGATTCATGCACGCGTTGTCCAGCGAGCCACCGGGCGTGGCCACCGGCAATTGGGGCTGCGGTGCTTTTGGCGGCGATGCTCGTCTCAAGTCGCTGCTGCAACTAATGGTTTGTGCCACTTTGCGCCGCCCACTGGCCTACTACACCTTCGGCAACGTTCGGCTGCGCGACGAGCTGCACGAGATGTGGCAACTGTTCCGCAGCCAGGGCACCACCGTGCGTCAGCTATGGACCGTGCTGCTCCGTTTCGACGACAGTCTACGCACCAACCCATCGTCATCGAGCCAGCCAGCCCCCAACCCGAATCTCTATGACTATATACGCGAAGAGCTGAAAAAGAAGACGCCGCCATCATCATCGGGTTCGACTCCAAAGCCGAACAAGAAGCTGATCAGCGCCAGTAATGAACAAAGTCCAGATCTGTTTAGTTCGCTTGACGACTCGACATGCTCGCCGTCCGCCCTTCTGCTCTCCGACGATGAAGAGGCGAATGCCATGATGATGGCCGCCAGCCTGGAGGCAACGCCCAGTGTCGAGAGCAGCCTGGCAGTTGCAGGAGCAGGAGCAGGAGCAGCAGCATCCGTGGCAGCAGCAGCAGTCACAGTTGCAGTAGCAGCAGCAGGTGGAGGCTCGCCACCGAAGGCAGCTGGTGCTAAAATGCGACAGCTGTCGCTACTGGATATGCTGGACAGCCACTACGATCAGGGCCAGGCCTCGAAGCGACCGCGTCCATCACACAGTGGCGCCACAGGCCAAGGCCCGGTCAAGAGTCGCAAGGAAAATGAAGACGATGGAGAGGCTACAGCATGTTGAGGGGCTACGGTGGCTACGCAGGCTACGGGATTTTGACTAAGTGATATTATACTAAATGGTTTTTTTTGCCACACTTTAAGGCATCGACAGGGAAAGAGAGAGAGAGATAGAAAGGAGAAGACATTGGAGAGTGCAACAGCTGCTCTTGGTGTTTGGATTCAGTTTTAGTTTGAAGTGGAAACTATGTTTGCTCTTTTATTAGCCACAGGTTTGTGTATATGTGTGATTAGGTGGCAAAAGAGAATCCTCATTTATGGCAGGACACTGACGGTTTATGTATTTATATTTATTCATGAAGTAAAGCCAACACACCACACCAAAACACCCATGATCAAGAAGAAGTAGATGTGCGCCTGCCATGTGGGCACAACGTGGCCAGGAATTTGGACTCGAAGAAGGGATTCCATCTGTAGGGACAGGCCACGGGCAGCACCAGCAGCAAGACCGCAACAAATAAAATATATCGCAAGTGATGAAATATGTATTTTTAATGCACCAGCAAATACATCTTTCTGCTGCGTTCCCCTTCATCACACGATGGAATTGTGATTGAATTTTAAATTACAACATTTTGGGAACTTATATAAATAATTATAGTTTGCGTAGCTTGTTTGCATTTTGGGAATTTTATTTGTTCTATTTTGTATGTATTGTAATTAATCTTTTAGCTCTCTCTCTCTCTTTTAAGTAAGCCCAAAAAGATAAATTAGAGAAGAAAGAACGTCGCTCAAAGAGAAAGCAAAATGTAAAACCAATAGCTATGCACAGATACATACATATACATACGTATATATATATACTTATATACTCGTAGCATGTATAGAAATCTAGATCAACTTAGTAAGAGTTACTTATTCTTCTTGTTTTTTATTGTGAACCTTGGCGATCCATAAACTTTATTTATTTACGCTTTACGCACACCCAAGCAACAGCAACAGCAACAGCCACAACAACAAGAACCACAACAAAAACAACAACGACAAACGACAAACGACAAACGACAAACGATACAACAACAAAAAAAAAAAATAGTATCTATAGGGGAAATCAATAATGATTGCGCCGCTTATTGGAGGGACAATATTCGGCATACTCCTCCCAGGTGCAGCCAGCCTTGGTGCAGCATTCATTTGTGATCGATGGAGCATTGGAGCGACGTGTCCTCAGGAACATATTGGCATAGTTGACGTGCAGCCAAGTCGATGGTGGCGTTCCAGCTGAAATTATTTTCAGTGAAGGATTTGGCCGGCTCCATGGCGCATCTTTGGACTCACGTTTCGTGGCGGAGCTCTGCTTGAGCCAGGCCTCATCGTTGCCCGTCCGCTTGCGATTGCGTCGCGTCAGACGATAAATGTCCTTCTCGCAGGCCCAATACAGCTGACGTATGAGCTTGTCCCGGCAACGGGAATGCGTCTCCTGATGCCACACATTCTCCCAGTCCGATTGTGAGCTGAAAATAAATATAAATGCATTAACTATTTGCAGTGCAAACCTCATGTATGTAACCTTTGTCCAAGCCCAAACGATTTCAATAAAATATATATTTCAAATTGAAGTTTGATTTAATTTTTGAATGTTTTCTGTTTGCCATCGAAAATAGTTCCATTACACGAAATATCCCTTGGAACTTACCGTTCACGAAAGAGCAACTCGAGTCCCTCCTCGGTGTGATGCAGTGCATCGGAGGTTTGGAATAGCTGCAGAATGAAGAGCAGTACGGCACCGCACAGCGTCCAGTTCCTGGGACCAACGCCAGTCAGTGGTTGGCCCATAATGATGGGGAAAATCCTTGTGCTGGTTGCTGCTTATGCCGCCACAAGAATGTCTCTGGTTATCTCTGTGCTGTGTGTGCGGCTCACACGATGGCCGTGTGGCAACTGAAGAGTTTGGCCGGTGTGCGTTCCGGTTTTGAAATATAACCGGAGATGGCCGCGGCAGCTTGTACACGGACGGGACACGGTCAAGGCGTCGGCGGAGGCGGCCAACTGTCGGGCGTCTGCATAATTAAATGGCCTGACACCGCGGATGCTATTCGAGCTTATTTGAAGTAATGAGCCAAGAAGAGGGGTTGCATCCACACCCACCCCCACACCCACACCCACACAGGTAACGCTCGCATGTATGTACATACTCGTATCTATAATGAAGAGCAACGGCAGCAATTGCGTGTGGCCTGTGCCGCTTATTGCCTTGTTTATTTGTGGTCCGGTATGGTCCAATTGGTCCCAAAGTCAGACCTATACCCTACTCTGCTCTGCTCATGTTACCTGTTACCTGTTACCTGTTACCTGTTACCTGTTACCTGTTGCTTCTACTGCTGATGCTGATGCTGCCAGGGTGTTAACAAAACAACATAAAATCGAACAACTTACGCTTGTTGCTTACTCTCTCTCTGTCTTGATTTTTGTTTGCCTCATAAAAATCGGTGTTCTGTCCAGCACTAGACGCGTGTTCTCATTTCGAAATTCGCATAAATTGTCCAATATTTGCACGAATTTCAATACAACCCACACAGTCTGCAGGCACAGTGGTTGCAGGAGACAAAACTTCAGCTGATAAGCAACCATTGATTCGTCTTTGGTAGCCGATAAATATCTACAAAAACATTTGATAATTGATTTTTGTTGAATATTTTCTATGTTTTATCACATCTGACCTTAAGCCTTTACTCGTTTTACCTGTTCTAAGCCACTGTTGTCACACACACAGAGAGAGAGAGTAGAGACAATTGCTTAGCTAAATAATGTCACTGTTTACACATGTTGTCCCAATTTATGCAGCAACTCCCACCCACTCGTGCTCTGCCTTTGCACCCATTTGTACCTTTCACGCCTTCATTTTGTCGGCTCAGTTCTTGGTTGACTTTGCCAGTGGTTGGTTGGTTGGTTGGTTGGTTGGTGGTTAACATTTAAAGGCGCCTTCTCACATGTTCTTTGTTCTTATTTTGGTTCCATTTATTTTTTGCAAGTGCTCAGTGGTGTGTTTACAATAACCTTCTTGTTGGTGCACAATTAATTTGTTTCATGGAAGTGCTTTAAAATTATTGTAACGGAAAAACATGCAGAAAGACACTCAGACAGAGAGACCGCAAGTAGTTTGTCTAACTGTAGAAAAAAAGAGTTGGGAGTTATTAGGCAGAGCACTCTCTCTTTCTAAAATACCAAACTAATTTTTATAAATTTTGAAATATTTTTACTTCAGGAAATATAGAGCAAATAATCCAAATACTATTTTATTTTACAGCTTTCCTCTAATGTTCGATATTCATTCTACTTTTCTGTAGCTGCTCATACCGTTGAAGGATCTAATTTTGATTCAACTCTCTTGTAAAATTGTACCACTGACTTCTAAACTATAAGATATTTAACAATAAGTTGGTAGCTTCTAAAGACCGAACTTGCTTTCTTTTATATCTATTCATGCCCTGAGTTGGAAGCAGGTTAAAGTCTCCAAAAAGAGTCTTTGTGAATTAGAATCTAGAACTAATATTCAACACATGCTCTACACCGGGAATCGAATCCAGGCACGACGTAGTGGTGTACAATTGCAAAATAAATATAAACGCAGGACATAGCTTTAGTTTCGCTTTAAGATAATAATAACGATTCAGCAGCTGTATCCTCTTTGTAGTAAACGTGAAAGAAAAAACAGGCGATGTTAGTGTCGATGCTAAAGTATGTACCAAAATATGTACATAACTATGTATGTACTGTAATTAAGTATTATTTAAGTTGGAGAATAAATAAATCTATAAATGTGGTTATGTATTTATTTCAAACATATTTTTCCGCTTTTTTTAGGGCAGCAGCAGCTCTGGTTTACAGCTATGTTAACGTCCTCTTTTAGCGTACGATGTTACCGTGTGCTGTTAGCGCACCATGTTACCGAACACTCTTAGCGGATCATGTTACCGTGTGCTGTTAGCGCACCATGTTACCGAGCGCTGTTACTCCTCACTGTTATTAAGTGTTGAACTTCTCTGAATGTAAACTGAATTTTAATTGGTCCCCAAATATATTTGGAAAATGAGGACAACGGCTTCAACAAAAGTGTTCAATTTCAGAGCTGGAATTACGCTTTCAGGTTGTGCTGTTGCTGTTCACTTGCTCTTGTCTCCTGTTTCGGTCTCCATTGTCTCCAGTTTGCAGTCTCTAGTCCCTAGTCCCTTGGTCTTGGAGTCTCAATGCATTATTAATTATTATCAATGCAACATTCATTTTAAATTGAAATGCAAAGTTTCTCGATCATTAACCTATGGGTGGATCTGTGGTAGATAGTTGTGGGAAATATGACAATAGACAGCAGAATGTAGAACAAATCTCTGGATACACATTCCAAAAACAAGTCATACAATTAAAGTAGTCCTTTTCTATTCGATTTGATGTGTCACTCACTCACTGCCAGTACCATTTGTTCAGTATCAAACAGTAAGCTGAACTACTGAAATCAAGAGACTCAATAAAAACAAAAATTGTTCTGAAATTAAATATGAACGTGGAATTAAGATTATATTCGCGCCAATGGCTTTCTGAGTACATAGAGCAGTACGAGGGGGGCGTGCCTGTGGCAGAAGAATCACAATGACTACAGCCATCGGGCCGCCCGAAATAGATCCTACGACAGGCTGCTGGAGAAGTTAAAAGAGATCGAATCAAATCCCGACCGACACATGGTCTTAAGAAATATCAGATCACTTCGCAGGTCATTTTTGAGAGAGTTTCGGCAGACGACCTCCAAGAGCAACTACAAAACGCAGTTGTGGTACTACGACAAGATGCTCTTGGTTGGTCGACGAGGAGTCCCCCATCACACGAACACACAATCTCAGCATATGAACAACTTAGCGCCCACATCCTCCGACGAAGTCGAGCAAGTCTCTGCCAACAACAATGAGGTGGTCAGCAGTGAGGGCGCAACCCTGAGCACGATAACCGGGATGCCAGTGGATTCTGTGACGCTGATGAACAACGAACAGCTTCAGCATGATGCGGCTGCCGTCCAGGCACACCAAAAATTAGTGGCACAAGCGGCGGCGGCGGCCCAAAACTCTATAGCAGCTGCGGGGCAGCCCCCGTCGTATGACGAATACGATGCGATTGGTGTGAATGTGGCCACAAAATTGCGCGCCTTAAATCCCCTGCAGCGCATCACTGCGGTGAAGCTAATCGGCGATGTGCTCTTCAATGGCCAGCTGAACGATCTCACCGTCAGCTCGATCGTAACGCATAGTACTTAGGATAGGAATACAAAAAAAAAAAAAGGCAAAGCAGAAGTAAAGATGAACGTGAACAGTGACTGGGACTCAGTCAACGATTGCGCCCACTTCAATTTCTGGAGCGACTTTCGTGAAATCTTTGCCTGTGAAGGCGTTGGGTTATTGAAATTGGTTAACAGTGCCGCAGATGCCTGGCAGGGTCTAACGCCCAAACAGAAGAAACAGTTCCAGGAGGTGAGAACACATTTTCTTTGGTTTTGAACTTCCTGCCAATAGAAACAGTACGTGGCAGAGCGTAAAGCTGAGTTGAAGCGTGTGAAGAAGGACAAGACAGAGTTTGGCGGAGACGGGGACCAATTCAAGGGGAACGATGTGCCGTTGTTCAATTTGAAATCCTGTTTTAGCGGCTTCTTTCAAATGTTCTTTAAATAGTTATTTGTTAATGAAATTTAAGGTTTTTTATTCATGGGAAACAGGGAACACCGCATTTTTAGCCACACATTTTTACAGGAACTATGCGAGCGATGTGGAGCTCATGTTTGAATCCAGAATCGAGCATCAGATGCATCCAATTGACACACAAAAAGAGGATCCCCCCAACCGGAATAAGTGTAAACCATTAATTAAAAAAATCAATTAGCATTAAGAATTATTGTTTGCTTTGCCAGATCCCCTGTACCCGAACGAATCAATTGAATCCCCGAAGCAGTGGCGCAAAATAATGAGTTGAATGGCAGAGTACACAGATTCATCAAATTTATTTAACACAATGAAACAAATGTTATTGTACATATACGAACATTCATATACGAATACAATATCTTTTGCTGATCTTATTTTTTGTTTGTTATTTATCAACTTACATTAGCTAATTTGCGTTTGGTTTTGCAGAACGTTAGAAAATAATGCAAATATTATAATGGACTTGTTTATGTTTTATGTTCGCTCTAGGCGGCTAATGAATACCCTACCCTAGTCAAGCGGGCAACAACAACAAACAAAAAAAAAAAATCAACCTTTCAATCATTTACTTAAGATCTAAAATTTAATTTAATTTTTGTTGTCATTTAGTTTATTTGGTTTTCCAAATTGTTTGCCAAAATGTTGGTTTTGTCCCCTTTTTGTTCTAAGTTCAAATTTTTTTCAATTCCACAACTGTGCTAGGAATGCAGTAGGACATATACATATGTATATATATATATGAAAGTATATACATATAGTACATGCATTTAACAGCCACACACACAAATGAGTACGCGCATATTGTAGACATCTCTATGAATAAGTACACGAGACGAGCTGCTCTCCAAGTACAACAGACAAGCACAATTATTCCCATAAATGAGTGCTCCTGTTTGTATGTTTATCAATCAATTTTATGTTACAATTTTAATTCGGCACGGCCGAAGCAACGCAAAATAAATTAAAGAATTTAACAAAAATAATATACAAATACTTTGCCCTTCTCCTTCTCCCCTTTGCATCTTATTTAATAGTCAAATATAAATATTGTTTAATGGCATCAATAATCTGCAATTTACATGATTAACTAATGGCGTAACAAAAACATGGTCAAACATGTCATGGCTCAACAATAATCTAATATATGAGAGATTTTGTTTCAAGCTTTCAATCGCTAAATGGTTCCTCAATGATTTTTAAATTAAGCATAAACCCAAATCGAAACCAATTGGCTTCCTTTTGGCATACACACTCGTAGGCTTATCCTTAAGTCTCATATGCCCTACTCCACACTGAAATAAGCATTAAGCGTTGAATGGCAATCCCTGCTGGGGACGATTTAATTAGCATAAAGACTTGATGAAAGGATTATACACATATATTCATGAATGCGTTTCATTTGCCATCGAGCTTTGAGAGTATTCGAAAATTTCAATTAGGATTTTGTGTGTCTCTCTCTGCTCGCATAATGCTTTGCTCAAACATCCACCCACATATATATATCTACAAAATATTATCCAAGTATTCATATAGGTTTCATCTTAATTACGAGTTACTTCAGTTATTTCTTGTGCTACTCTTTAAATGTAATATGTTATGGTATGGTTGTAATAATGGCATAAAAAACAATGAGGTTTCAAAAGTGTTTAGTGTAAAATGTTCAACTGCCACTCGATGGATAAATCTCTGTCCATTATAACTTTTTGTGTGTGTGGCATTTTTGTTAATTATAAATTTCTGCTATTAAACGCTTAATGGCTAAATGACACTCATGCACAGAGAGAGAGAGAGAGTACAAACAGAACGTACAATTGGCCAATTCGCTTCCACATTTAGTTACAGGAATTTTCCATTAACATGGCCTTGCACTTAAATCCTATTTTGCATTCATTTCATTTGTTTTGTCAGCCCTCCACCACCACCCACGTCTTCATTCCTTTTTATGTAATTGTTATGCTTTTTTTTCTTGCTTTCAATGTTTTGTACATTTCATTTCGAACAATTTAATTGTAAGTTTCTTTTTATCAAATGTTTTTTGCATTTTTCGCATTTATCTACTTATGTTCTTATATCTCTAAAAAAATGTACACAGCGTCTTAATTACGGATTACAGAACTGAAACATATTTGAATCCACAAATATTACCATAAGAAAATAATAAGTCTGATTAGGTAACAAGGACAATTAAATTCTCCTCTTGGACATCAATTGTTGAGTAAACCTTGGATGCGCCGCGTTCTTTTGTATTTGTGTTGAATTTAAATTCAAATTTCCATTTCTTTGGTTGACCATTTCTATCATCAAAAAAATATCTTCAGAGCTGCAAAACATAGAAAAAACAAGAAAATTATGTCAAAAGTCACGCGTATTATGCAATTTTTGTAAGCTATTTTAATTGCCTTGCAAACACTTTTATTTGCAAACATTTTGGATGGACAATTCCACAATCTGGAATTTGAACAAAAGTATGGATTACCTTTTACCTTTTTGCCACAAACTGTGCTAAAACAAATATGCAACACAGGAATACGACCAGTTTATGGCTGATGAAAAAACTTCTGTGCAAATGATATCCTAAAAATGCTACTACAGAATTTCCCTGGAAATGCTTTTATATTATATTATTTGGCAAAACTACTTTAATAAATATTGCAATTTATTTGCACACACTTTCAGTGAAAATATGTCAACCGAAATGGTAGAGTTATAGTTATAGTTATAGTTATAGTTGATATAGTTACTCACCCGCTTAGAGCATTTCAATATTGGATGTTCCGTTGCCGGTTGCAGTACGCGTGGTCTTGGTCACTTGTTGATTGGCCAAAAGCGGCGGTGGGCTGCCACACCAGACCACCTTGAAAGTAAGCAAAAAGCAACAAAGTAGCACTAAGTAGGCACCCACAAAAAGAGGAGGGAGCTGTTGTCTTACCTTGCGGAATGCCTTGCGGAAGTTGTCGGAGAGAAAGGCGTAGAGTATCGGATTGATGCAGGAGTTGGTGTAGGCCACCACATGCGATATGATCTGAATGATGACCGACAAGTGACTGCCGCCGTACATGTCCAGTGCCTTTAAAACCAGTATGACCTTTGTTTGTTTTTCGTTTTTTTTTGTTTAAAGAGAGAGAGAGAAGTAAGTTATCAGTGGAGATATCCATATGTTGGCACTGATAAATGCAATTTGCACATCTTGCCTCGAGTGTGTCATCTGTGTCGGATTGCGTGTGTGTAATTGTAATTTCATTTGTAATTTGTGAGCACATTGATTTTGTGCAAACACTTTGTCTGTCCGTCTGTCCGTCTGTCTCAAGCTAAAGGCGAGAGTGTGCCAGCAGCGAGCAACCAAAGGGCAGCAACAACAGCCAGCAGCAGCAGCTGCCGCCAGCTTTGGCCCTGGATTATTAAACATTTCAGCAAATAAATTGTGCTCGAGGATGTTCTCGAATGGTGTTTGGCATGGGGTGTAGTGGCTGAATCACAAATGTCAATTTATCGCCACTATCCAAGTATCTTGGTTACTGTTTGCCAGCACATTTCAGCAGCAGCTGTTGCTCTGCACACATTGCAAGCACTTTGAATCATACAGAAAGAACTTAAAGTGATTCAAGTTTTGTGTGTCAATTACTTCTATGTTTCAAGTATAAGAATTAACTGTGTTATATCTGTACAACTATAATTATAACACACGGCATGGCCGATAATATGAATTAAATGATGTGCGAAAGTATTTCCCTTCATTATTGATGGTTGATCAGATTGATCCGATTAGAACTACTAATTATTATGTGTATTAAGTACTTTATATCTGAATGGATCTTTGAGTGTCTACTTACATGGATGGGCAGCCAGCATATGGCGAATGCCAAAACGACAACCACTACCATTCGTGTGACGCGTCGCTTGCCCTTGCTGCAAATACATTTACGGGTAGAGTTAGTGGGGTGGTGCATAGTAGATATTGGGCATAAATTATGGCACCGTTTAGTTTGTGAATTTCGCATTGCACGCGCTTGGCTCTTTTTGATTTATGAACTTTTCGTGCAAAGTGCGAATTTCCTCTGTTGGCTTTCATTTTGGTTTAAACATTTAGCGGAGCGTTCCAGCAACTGCAATTTTCAATTGAATTTTATAAGCTCTTTGCGAGTATTTACGTGACTTCTTTCTTGAATTTCCGTTCGATAATTAAGTAACTGTTTTATGTTTGCAACTTTTCCATTTAATATTATTTCATTTATGATAAAAACAAACTTGGCAAAAGTTCAGGCCACGTTCTTGTCCGAAAACTCCCGTCGAACTCCTGTCGAACTCGAAGTTTTCGAGCTTGAACTGCGTGTTTGGTGGGAAATTGCAGGAAAGTTTCGCTCGAAATTGATGGCTGGCTGGTGACTCCCCCCCGATCACGTTGCATGCATTTGTGGCAATGCATTTTCACTGCTCAATATGACTTTAAAACTTGTGTTTTTATGTATACCTTTAATTTAAATTTATAATTAGTTGGCGACCATCCGCAAAAGAAGCTGTGGACACGATTGAAAAGCCAATTTTATGTTTGAAAACTCTTTGGAAATTCACATTTATGGTGTCCATGATGCATCGTCTTATGTTCAGCCTTAACTTTGATGAAAATGGTCGCAACTTAAACAAATTTGTGCACCTAAAAGCCTCTCCCTCAATGCCTTTTCATTTGCTTTTTCTATGAGTACATAGAGTTAGGGCCGCTGTCTTCTCTGGGGAAGTATCGCTCATGCGGAGCCGGCTTATGTGCCGTTGAACCCACGCTGCAGAACACTTAAAAATGTATGAGGCAAAAGCTCACGGGAGCCGCCTACTGCTCCGGCCTAATAAAAAGGCATTCATCATGGTGCGCAGCCTTGGTCGCAGGTGCGTGCAAAACAACAAAAAAAAAAAAAGAGAACGGGCAGCACATTTCCCATCGTGTGTGAGGCTCGATGTGGAATTATATATATATTTTCTTTGGTTGTAGAGCGCTTACTCACCGTGACTCGGCGGATGGCTTGCAGCCTGGAGCACTTTTCCACAGGCGCGCCAGCATGCCCATATAGAGGAAGCAAATCAGCGTCAGGGGTGCCACATACGATGACAAGAAGAAGGAAACCTGCAACAAGAGGTGGTAAATATATTTATGGTCTGTCTTTGGTTGGAGTCGTACTGGAACTCGACACAGATTTGGCATTAGTTTTAATTGCATTTCGCCCCACAACCCAAATGCGGTCAACAATGGTCAAAGTTTTCTGGCCACTCAATGAACACAATTAGGGGCTGCTGCCTGGGCCACACTTCCTTGGTCAAGAGATAGAATAAGCGTAGGGCAGGGCAGGGCATGGGTTTGCATGGGGCAAAGTTTTGTGTTCAAGGCGGGAGTTTGAGGCGGGAGTCGAGTCAAGTTTGATGGTCCCCGCTTAGCGATGAATGTGCTAACAATTGATTTACATTTGAATTTATGCACTAATTCATTCGATAAATGATAATCGTTTAAGTCTACAACTTTTATGCTTCAATTTTGAGCATCTTTTTTAGGTTTAATTGCTACCAAATCAGTTTTCAGTCATTTGTGCATCGCGGCTACAAAATTAATTGACTAGAAAATACATCAACATATTCATCAGCCTCTCCCGCTTATCGTTTAACCATTTTTTGCTTTGCATTCCATTTGCGTTTTGTTATTACTATTATTATTATTTTTTTTGTTTTGTTTTATGCCTGTCTCTGGTCGAAGGTTCTTGCCTCTGCCAGCTGCCCTGCCCTGTCAGCGGCTTTTGTTTTGTTTTGTTTTTTGTTGTTTGAAAGCGCTGACCCGTAATGCTGCCCAGATACCATACCAGAAATGAGTACCAGACACACATTTGCAGCTGCCTCTCTGCTGCCAGACAAAAAGAGAATGGAAGGACGCTACATGTCTGTGTCGGATATTTATATTGTGTGATTGTGGGCCATGAAAAACTATGCCGAATGGTTTTGTTGAATGGACATAACGTTGGGGGGGCACTTCCCACGCTTGAGTCCATGGCGTAGTCTGTGAAATCAATGAATCGAGCAATGAATAATCCCCGAATAATAACTCTGTTGCGATTGTTAAACAGTCATGAATCGGGAGTTGAAGTGGCAATAAATCAATGGGACATGAATCGTAGATGCAGCCAACTATTATGTATCGAAAGACTTTCTCTTGGTTTTCATTTCACTTCTCACCACTTTTCATTGCACATTCAACGGAGCAAAGTGGATCGAATTGTAAGCCTTTCATGCGCTTATTTCATGCCCCAAAAAGTAGGCAAGAGCATTGGCATTTGTTGGTTCTGTGGATCCGTAAACGATATCCAATCAGCTGCCGCGTGCATCGCGGCTTCTTTCGGATGAGAACCTTCAGCGGCGCGGCATTAAATTCATTCGGTGGCTCCTCAAGTTTTCGAGTGGTTGCTGGAGCGCGGCTCGTCCGGGGCTGCTTTCAGCCGAGTGTAAATGATTTAAGGGTCCGACGCCAGCCAATGAATACAATAAAACACACTCCACGCTCGGGAAATATGCACAAAGGTGCAAGTCGAAAATAAAATATATATTCGGATAAATTGCGAAAACCACGAAATGAAAGCAAATTCGAAACAGCAGCAGCAGCAGCAGCAGGAGGTGAAAGGTAATGAAATGGAAAACGAACAGCAGAAAAAACAGCAAAAGGAAAAGGAGAGAGAAAGTCAGAGTCAAAGTGTGGGGAAAAAGCGAAGGGACGGACGACAGCTGAAATCGCGCATGCCGCAATTGTTAATAATCGCTGCCACGCTGCCACGCTGCCACGCCATCACCTTCTCACTGTTCACGGACTCCTTCTCTCCGCTACGAGACGCATTCATTCATATGCAGAGAGTGACAGAGAGCACTGGAGTGAGAGCGGGAGCGGGAGCGGCAGCGGGACTGGTGGGTAATGCCTGACAGCTATGGAATCGAAATCACTTTGTTGGGATTACGATTACCTACCTACCCGTGGCCCATGGCCAATGAACATGTCGTTTGTTATCGACAACGACAACAAGGCCATTCCCGAGCACTGACATAATTCCCACTGACACATCTGGGCTTGTAGCCCGGATCTGGATACCCGGTCTGCTCTGGGCTTAATGATGCCCTCCGATTCTTACTGCTTCCGTCAGTCAGTCAGTCAGTCAGTCAGTCAGTCAGTCAGTGACAGTCTCTCTGTATGTTTTTGCTTTGTATTTTATTTTTGGCACGGGTGCTACTGCAGCATTAATTAAAGTGTAAATTGCAAAGGAAATCGTTTGTAATGCCAGTCAGGTCGGTACAATAATGTTAATGATATCTCGCCAGGGGGGCGACTGTCGCTGGCGCGCACTCTCGCCAAATGCTGCAATTTATGGACACATTCATCCAAGACAATGGGACTTATGCGCCCCTCACCCAACATTATATGTGCCTGATGTGTCCCTGCTGCTTTCTCCGTTACCTAACGGCTTCTTATTGTGCGCGGTGCGAGGCCTGTGGTTGGTCGAGCAGCGATAACTGTGCAAAGCTGACTGCCGTGAGAGCTTTTGCAGCGCTAATGCCGCTCAGCTGATAAGTATGAAACTTTAGCTGCGATCCGATCGGTTTGGCTTGGCATTGGCTCACGTTTTCCTTGTAATTTATTTCCTTTTGCTCTTTAAACTTTTAAAGTTGTCAGCCAAAACGTACCCAGACAGGGGCTAAATCGACACTTAAAAGCGAAACAAAAGGGAAACTCATTGACAGAGCAAATCATTAGCAAACATTTCCAACATTTGTTTTCTATTGCTGATTTTTTAGCCATTTCAATGCCAGACGCTTGGAGCGTCAATGAACCGAGACAAGCAGATGAACACACGCATCCAAATATCTTCATAGGATGTGGAGTTGAGGAGCCTATAAACTTTCACAAGCGTCGCATAAAACTTCATTTTATGGCTGGCCACTTAGGCAATAGACAGAGACACAAAGATGTGCCTTTACGCAAAAATACAAATATTTCCTGAAGCGATAAATACACACACACACACACAATGGATATTTGGCTATGAAGTTTTACAGCATAATCGAAAAAAAACGGGATGGGAAATAAAAGTTACTAAGACTTAGGCACAAAACTTTTTTTCGGCCTTTAAACTTTATGCGAATCCCAATAAAAATCCATAAACTAAAGTGTGTGCCATAAATTAAATAGGTTTTCTTTTTCCGCAGGGTGCAGCTACTCATAAATTGCTCATATTTTAGTATGGCACCGAAAAAGTGTGCCTCGGATGTTAGCCATAAACAGCGCCTCCGCAGGGCACTCGGCGAAATGAATCAACTCACCAACGACCGATGAACCAGAGACTAAATAATTATTGGCCAGTGTCCAATGTTTATGGGTATGGTTGTGAGTGCGTCTCATCCTTAGCCACCGTTTCATTGCATTTGTTTTGGGTCGCAAAATGTAAATCCGAACTTTTTCGAAAGCGTTCGCCTTCAATCAAGGTTCTAGGTCAGAGTTGACACATCAAAAGTTCGCCTTTGGCCCAAACTTTTCGCCAACAACTTAACGGTCAAAACACCCACCATACATGTTTTTTTCTTTTTTATTTCGGCAGAGTTAGCAGTAAGATAAATACTTTTGTTTCTTTTGCTTTGGCCATTTCTAGTCCTTCTTGGTGTTATCTTGTTTTTCCACCACTCGTCTACCCACCTCACCCCAAGACACAGTTTGTTTTATTTTTATGGGATCTTTACGATGACAACAATTTGGTCGTTAGTTTCGTTCTTCGTGTGACTGATGCGTGGCCCAAGTTTGATCCATTTTTATTTTATTACCAGACAAGGACAAGGTCTGACACGCACACACACAGACATGCAAAATTGACCCTGACATTGATGGGACATTGGGACAACAAATCAAACAGCAAACTGCAGTTTCGATTCTCTATTGAGCTGCTTAACAGAGTATCCGAATGTGGCTTCCTGCTCGTGTTTTCCCAACCAATTGCGATTTATATGCACAGTCACGAGTGGGGGCGAGCAAGGGACATCCGTATCCGTAGCCGTATTCCCGTACCGGTCGGTATTCGTGACATTCCCATCAAAATGATTCGAAGCGAAGAACTGTGCAATTTGCTGTGGCAGGTGACATTTTGGGCGAACAGCCTGACGAGTGCATATTAGCTGTAGGAGCGTCACTGCGGAATGGAGAGTGGAGTGAAGTCAGTGCTCCATCTGTGGCATAGGAATGGGAGCTGACGACAAAGCTCAGTCATCGCTTCTAACTCGTAGCTCTCAGCTCTGGTCTCTGCGCTGTTTCTGCTCCTTCTGCTGCCAAACAACTGCGGCTTCCTGTGTAACATCCTTCCGGCATGAAATTGCTCTGACACGCTGACACGCTGACACGCCAGACAACAGCAGACAGGGGCGTGCCCTTGAGGGGTAGAGGGAGAGTGGAACTGGAACTGGGACGAGTGCTGAATTGATTAATACACAAAAGTTCGAGTAATAAACATGGCAAACGGAACATGAAACCCTCCCAAAAAGATGAGCAACTCAGCCAAACGGAAAAGGCATTTCGGATAACTCTGATCTATGCGTGGGGGGAGCGAGACGCTGAGTCCAAGGATAATGATGATGGAATCGCACTACTTACTCCCCCAATAGCTGCGGAAAATAATTGCAAAATACGACACTGAGCAGGAGCAGGAGCAGGAGGCATTCAGTGTGGCAATGTGTGAGAGTGAAGACACCTGATTGAAGACTGGGGGATGGACGTGGTGCTCCACACTGACCGAGGAGCGGCATGTTGCCCTGATTGTTGGGTTCCATGCTCCTTTGATTGTGCTGACAAGCTGTCGCCGCGACTGGGGAGTGGCTGTGGGACTGTGCGCTAAGTAGCAAAAACAAATTGCACTCTTGCCCGGGCCAGCACTTGGCAAACTATGACTTGATTTCAACAATAAGCGATCTGCTTCGCGCCTGGATGGGCTTGGAAGTACTTACCTGAAAGCCAACCAGACTCCACACCTCCTCCTCCGTGGAGAAGACGCAGGCGGTGCCGACGTTGCCACGATACTGATAGTTGCGAACCGAGTGCGACAGAGCCACGGGAATCGCTGTCGTCACAATCGTTATCCAGGCACACATGATGGCTCTGAATGGGAACAGCGAGACAAAAGTTGAGAGTACAAATTAATGAAGGTTCTTCGTAGATCGGTGGATTATGAGCTCCCATCTTTGCCGGCACTCTGCCCCTGATGCTGATGATGGAACGTTTAGGGTCTGAGTGTGGAAATCCCTTTGAAAATTTCAGGTGTATGTGACACGGTTGAGCGATTCAAGCCAGCTCTGCCCCTGGGCATATTCATGTAACAATGAATGACAGACAGACAAAAGGTAAGAGGCATCCAGGGGCTGGGAGCTGTAGGCAGAGCTACTGTACGCTAATGACGAGGCCAGAACAAATTGATGCAATTACTCTAGCATCTAGATGATGTGGGGACGTGTGGCTGGAGTGCGGAATGAGCTGGAGGACTGCTCGTTGGAGGAGGGTGGAGGGTTGGTTGGGTTAAATGAACTTACAGCGTGGCATTTCGCTCTGTGCGCAGCGACATGCTCGTCACTGGATGCACAACGGCCAGGAAGCGATCAAAGGACATCAGCACCAATGTGTACACACTGCAACGTCAACAGCAAACGGGGTTAGTCATAAGTTACATAACTTACATGTGGGTACAGTTGCTGGTTGCTTGGTACCCACCTGCAGTGGCATGTGACCACAATCATGTACTGGACAAACTTGCACCACATATTGCCAAATGGCCACTCGGGCAGCACGTAGTCGGTGGCCGTGAATGGCACGCAGAAGATGACGAACAGGATATCCGAGACGGCCAGGTTGATAATCAGCAGATTGGTGGTCGAGCGCATCTGTTGGTTGGCAACCACAACTGCAAGAGAGACACCAAAAGGTTGCGTACCGAAACGAGTTAGTTTTGTGATTAGTTTGTGGTACATTCTGGGTACCATTTCTCAACAATGTCATTTATGGCCTGAGAACTTATGGCTAGCTTTTGCAGCACTTAGCTTTGGAATGCCTCTCAAATAAATACATTCCTCACAGCGATCAGAGCTTGTCTCGCATAAGAAAAGTTTACAAAATTTCTTAAAGCATCTTGCTTTCTAATGTAATTCATCATTTTTTGTTTCTGGCTCTCACAAATCTGAAATTGTGAATGTGCAGCATCTCGCTGCCACGGCAACTGTTCAGCGTTTATCCATATTTTTTTTCGCTCTCTCTTTTTCGCCCACGCTTTGCCCACGAAGATTCTCTTTTCGACCAATTACGCGGACAAAAGGCAGCAGGAACAGCGAAGACCGAGGAACGAGCCCGACCCCCGCGATGTGTGTGGAAACTGTGGAAGGGAAGCAATGTTACCATTTGTTTTGTGTTGTTGTTTTTTTTTTGTCGTTTTCTGCATTTGTTTTTTTATAACCGGCAGGGCAAGGGTAGCAAATGGGGTATATTCGCTGCTAGGGTGTGTCTGTAACCAACCCAATGAAACTGAATTTTCATTTCTTTGCAACAAATTTACCGAATTTGATTAACTAATTTGTACTTAACAGAAAGGTGAATTTAGTTAATAAAACAAATTAAAAGCTTGAGCCGGACAAGTGGGTATTTTATGGTCGGAAGATGGACTAAGGCCTGGAGTCCTTGTTAGTTCTTTGTGCTGTGACTTTGCACGCTCTCTATCTGCCACTCTTTTCTGTCTTTCTCTTGCTCTCTCTCTCGTTTCACTCAGTGCTTTCTGCTTGTAGGAGCCACTTGCAATTAGCTAGCAATTTATGTTTCTGCTATACAAAAGAAGCGTGACAAAGGCGGCATCGGCAGATGCCCAAAAGAGAGAACTAGGTGGGGAGAGAGAGAACAGCAGAGAAGCAACACAGAAGAGGGTCAACGGCGTTGAACTGTAACAAAAGTTGTTGGCCCCTTACCTCAGTGGCGGTGCGGTGCGGTGCAGTGCAAAGAGCAGATGAAGATGAAGATGAAGATGAAGATGAGACGTTCGTTACCCGCCCAATGGATTGATGTGGGGCACGAGGCCAGCAGCAAAATAATGTCAAAAAGGCAACAATCAAACGGCGGCGGTCGGGCGGGGGTGCAAAAGGTCGCAGAAACACCAGCAGAAGGGCCCCGGCACCCACAAGTGGAAAAGTCAAAGGAAACGTGGGAGGAAATGTGTCGCGACAGCAAGGCGAGGCGAATGCGTTTGACCGCAAATCAATTTCCTCTTCAAATATATATTTAGCGCAGAATGTGCCCAAGGTACACACTGAAGGTACAACAACTGAAGCGAAACACCAAAACAAACCACAAAATAAGCAGCAGCAGCAGGTAGGAGGGGAGTGGAAAATGGAGCCGCAATGGAGCAATAGGAGTACACAAAAAGTGAATAGGAATCAATAGTAATGACAACAAAGGCCAGGCACCGCAGGAGAAAGCCACCACAAAAACAATAAATAAACCGGCCAGCAAAATATATACAAAGATATTTGGGTTACACGAAGCGTATGTACGAGTACTCGAATTTATGTACAATATATGTAAAGATGTATGTCCAAGTGGGTAGCAGCTGTGTGCCAGCCATTGGGCAAGTCCATCCGTAAATCCATCCATCCCCCCCCCTGTAGCCCCCTTCTAATGCTGATTTGCTCCTCCTCCTCTCAGTGTTTGTTGCCTGCCTTCAAATACTTTTGGCACTTGACTTTCCCTCTAAAGATATGTATTTTATGTGCAGCACATTTCTGGCACACGAACTTAGCATCAGTGCAATGGCCAGCTACATGGAGGGGAGTCTGAAGGCTGGCGCTGCAGCTGTGCTAGGCCTCAAATGGTGCATGAAGTTCAACCCTTTTTTGTGCCCCACTATCCACGTGCTTTACACTTTTGTTGGTATTCTGTGGCCATTATGGTTTTGACCGTAGCCAAGTTTCTGGCTTGGGCATTATCAATTAACAGAAGAGGACACGAGCAGACACCCACACGGCTACAGTGTGCAACCCTTGTGGCTAACCATTTTTTTGTGGGCGCGATGTTGACACACAAAAGCAGCAGCAGGGCCCGGGCCCGGGCCAGTGCCAGTGCCAACAGCAGCAGCAGCAGCAGCAGCTCAAAAAGAAAGGGTCTCTGCTGGCGTCCGGTTACGAGTCTGGGATCTATGTTGGGGCATTAACTTTTTCCCCGCCATTAAATGAAAAAAGTCTGACATTCTTTTTTGTGGTGCTCGTTTTTGGGGCTCGGTTCGTCGTCTCCTCTGTCCTCTTGTCTGGCTGGCATTTTACAAAATAATAAAGAGTAGCATAATTTATGAGATCCACGAAAGAACCAAGGCTGGCGCAAACTTTTTCAAGCGCAAAAAACGCTTGTTATTTAATGCCAAGGGGAAGTGCAGGCCATGGAGCCATGGATACGAATAAGCAAATAATCAGGCAACACTCAGGCGTGTGTGTCCTAGACAGGATTTCCTACTTTCCTACTACTCGCAGCTCGGGCATATAAATTCACTTTTATTGAACTTTTATGTCAGCCTAATGCCCACACCCTACACACTGTCACTCCCTTCCCCTTCCCCTTCCCCCCCAAATGAGCGTGTGTGGAGCTTGTTATTGATGCACTGCAAGTTTGCCGCTGGGTCGCACCGCTTTGATTTATTATGCAAATGCAGTCTGTTTTCCCCACCATCTACATCTAACTTTACTTAAAGTAATACTTAGGCAGCAGTGCTGCTACCTTTTGGCGCAAAGTTCTTAATAAATCCAAGGCTAATGGTAAGTTATTATGAATTTGGACCATTACTTATGCTGTCATTAAAACATTTAGCACATCAAGTTTTCATTCGGATTAATGGCCATAAATTGCAAACGATTTTCTGCACATTTCTCAGCTGCTTTTAAGAAATTTCAACTTTGACCTAAGGTTAAAGAGTTTTTTCCCCTCAACAAGTGGAAAAGCGCTCAAATACTTTAATTTTGCTTTCACTATCCTTTCACTGGAGCATAGACTTTAGTGTGCTGCTGGGCACAGCTGAGTTTTGGGCGTCACATTTGGTTCTGGGTCTGTGAATGCCCGTTAAAACGTGCGCACAAAAGTGTGCTATGAAAACGGCATTTAAGCAGCATATGGCCACCATATATTCCTGTGTGTGTGTGTGTGTGTGTGTGTGTGTCTGTGTGTGTGCGTTGGGCAAATTTACACACAAATCCACAAGGCGTACAAATTTATTATCCAGCGTTGATAGTGATAAAATTTACAACCAGAATTGAGTACATCGCCTAAAAGCAGGCAACACAAACAGAGAGACAGACTCCAAACAATACCCAAATGGGCCACACACCCAACACACAAAAGGCAATTGTGCGTGGGTCTCTCTCTCTCTCTCTCTCTCTCTCTCTCTTTGCATCTGTCCCTGTCCGTGCTCCTTGTACATTCGTCATATTTATGCTTTTTTATGGGCCATGTACAATTTTATTGTTTTACTTTTCAATGCAGTGTCTGTCGGGTTGCGTTCCGCACCCGCACCCGCACCCACACCCACACCCACGCCCGCACTCGCACACCCACAGAATACATGTGTAGAACATTCCATTCAAGCCCCGAACCGGGAGGAGAAGCGGTTGGGCCACGAGCCACCGCCTCGAAGTAAGAACAAAGGCTGTCAAGCAGGTATAAAATGCCAGACAACATTCTGTTCTGCACTCCCCCTGATGATGATGATGATGTTGATGATGCTGATGCATGCTATTCCCGAAAACAATTTCCACCAAGATTCAATCACAATTTTTGGGATTGTTCTTTGCTTAATATTCCAACCAGCCCAAAGCTGGGAGCTGACAGTGGAAACTTTGTACGCTTAGCGCTTTCGCAGGCATGGATTACCCAATTGTGGGAACATCTTTTTATTTGCCGACTCTTTTGCCCCTCCGTGTCTACACCGTCCGCACACACTTGTGGCGCACTCTTGTCAACACATCTGCGTCCATGATGGCCATATGGCATCGCCTGCCGCCTTCATGGCCAGGTGTACAGCCTCCGTTCGCCCACCTAAACTCTGCCACATGCCTCGCTTGGCCTTGGTTTCGGGGGCCCAACTGGCAAGTGGCCGTCGATTTTTGATTTGTTTTGTTTTGTTTTGTGTTTGTTTGCCAGCTGCTCGATGCAATGGAGCCTCAGGCGACACATTTCTAGGGAAAGCAGCATCAGTCTTCCTTTTTGTGTGTATCCTTGCAAAGAATTCTGATCAGCCGAATGCTCAGGCGAATGCCTGTCTGAATCACATTTGTTTCCCCATGATAATGCTGCTTATGCTGCTTATGCTGATGTTGATTCAGATGTTGATGTTGATGTCGTTGTGTATTTGGATGGTTAATCATCAACTGTCACAGTGGGTAAGTCCGAATTGATTGCAGCTTGACAGTTGCGACTCAATAAAAAATCAATATAAAACAATTTGAAGAATTTAAAGTCTAGTTTGTAGGCCTGATGCAAAATCCCAATTAAAAAGCCCGAAAATGTATTGTCAAATATCCGAAACTTCAGCACTTTTTGAGAGCCAGAATAGACATGATTATTGGCTTCAGTGGCTTCCATTATTGAATTTCCCATGACAGGCAAGTGTGTCTGCGCCTAATTGATATGTTCGTCCGTGGCTTGAAACAATATTTAAGTACCTTCATGTATATCGCATTTCTGTGTTCTTTATTTTGGAAGACTTCAACCACAGAAGGGAAAACAAATCGTTGCCCAATCGTATACATTGCGCCCTCAGCTACTGCAGTCCCAAATAAAGTCTTTTGTGCTTTTTCCATTTTGTTTCTTTTACGTTTTCCGTTTTGTCTAAATTTCCTTTGGGCTGTTGTTTCTGTTGCTGTTGGCCGATGCTGTTGTCTTGTCTTGTCTTATTTGTATAGGCTGGCAAATGAAGCGACCAAGGCCCGAACTCACGATGCCGGGTAGGATAACATCCAGCGCCGCATCATTGTCTTGTCCGGTTCTTGCAGCTCTCGAGATTGTAGAAAGCACCCAAGAAAAGGGACAGACAAAGGGACAGGTTTTGTCGTTCTATTTGTAACCGGATATTTATGTGACACAACAGGATGTCTCTGTCTCTCTCTCTCTCTCTCTCTCTCTGTGTGTGTTTCCTTATGAAAATTTAAACTAATTGCCTTTGTTAGGGAGCGACAACTGTACTTGTTTCCCCTTGCTGATTGCAGGCCGCCCCAAAATATTCCTGCATATCCTGCGTTCTGGGCTCATCATTTATGCACTTAATGGATCTGGCCTAAGCCCCGGCAGGCTCAATGCAAAAGCACACACACACACACACAGACCTTAATTGGATCATTAAACAGAGGCACTGCCGAAGATAACAGAACTTGGAGACGTTGTTACTCGCAAAATTTTAATTGGGAATAAATGTCGATGCAATTAAAATGTTGAGTCACAAAAGGAGCAAAGCAGAGCAGAGAAGCTTCCTAGTGAGTCGTGCTTAAATAATCGGACAGTGTGATTTCATTATGCATTAAGTGCAGGCCACTTAAAGTGCCTTAAACTTCCTTTAAATTGCTTCACTTATTTGGAAGGTTTATGGGAAAATTGTAATGATTTTTGGAGCAGACAGAGGCGATTGGTTAAATATTTCCCAACTGAACTCTGAGTTACATTTGAGGCAGTAATTTGTACAATTAATGGCATTTGACTGTGCTTTCTCGATAATTACATTCACGTATTGAATTCCTTGAAAAGAGCAGACAAAAGCTGCATGCCATATACTCGTAGTAACTAAAAGCTGCTTGCCATGGATGGAAAATAATGCAATTTGGATTTCTAATCAAGTGACAGCAAAACCCGAATCAAATTGTTTACACTTAACCAGTCGGAAAGTGCCACCGGCCATGGCTATGTTTGTGTACATGCGAATGGGATACGAATACGGATACACGGATACGGAAACGTGGAAATGCACACAGCATTTTCACAGCGAATCGCCATAATAACAATAACAAAAGTGCACACAATTTACGGCTCGTGTCAATGCCATGGCCTTCAAATGCCGGATCGAATGGTGGCAGCAAAACACAGGTGTGAAAGCTGCCCGGCCCATGCCTACATCATGGTCATGGCTATGGCTATGGCTATGGCCTCAACCAAATTGTATTACACTTTCATGTAAGTTGATTTTGTGGTTCCATCTGTCCAAAAGGATGGAAAGAATGAAACGAAACGAAACAAAAAGGAGAAAGAGAAGGAGAGTGTGTGTGGAGCTGTGTGGGAGCTGTGTCGAATGTGAAACATGTTTTTGGTTAGCATTTTGCTTTCGCTTTTTTTGTTGTTGTTTTTTCTGCCACCATCCAAATCAAATTTGTCAGCCTTGTTGAGGGGGCAGAAGAGGACGACACACAAAAACTAAAAGTGGCGAAAAAAAAAAACAAAAATAGGTGGAGAGAGAGAGGAGGAAAGGATTTTGACTGGGGACAGAGTCACGTTCGTGCTCGTCGGGCCAATTACAATTTTATAACAGAATTTTGCTGCTGCTGGCCCAGTCTGCTTTTGCTGCTCAAAAATACTTATATCCATGGCGCTGCTGTCAAAGCGAACTGTGTGCTGTGTGTTGACAAAGGCTAATGCAAATTGAAGTGACAATGTGGTCCGACTACTCTCGCCTCGTGTTCGGAAAGCATAAATTATAATTAATCGTACACCCCACGCAGCAGTGCGGGAACGGACGGACTATCGGGTGATACTCTGATTTCGCACTGTGTTCTCTGTTCTCTGTTCTCTGTTGTCTGTTGTCTGTTCTGTGTGTATGTTTTGTGGCAGTTGCTTCTGCTAAATTTACACAAATTGCTGTTGACAGTTGTGTCAGAGTTGTTGTTGGTTGTTGTGTGTGTGTGTGTGGGTTCGGCAGAACTTATGAATACATTTGGCAAATACATACAAAATATATATTTACGATACTCCGTTCTGCAGTGCCCTCGTGTTTGAGTTTTGGTGAATTGCCTGTCAGATTACCCCACAACCAAATGCGATTCATATCACAATTCACAATTCACAAATAGTTTCGGGCTTGAGGGGTTTCCCGTTTTTCTCTGTGGCGAACCTTATGCAAAAACAATATTTATATTTCAAATTTAATACTTTAGAACTCGCTGCTCATAAGTCCCCTAAGGTGACAGCAGTGCGGCCGTCCATCTATCAAAGTTTCAGCCTCCAGTGACGTGGGTGGTGTGTGCGTGTGGCTAGCATATGAAAATTGACTTATCCTGCCATAAAATGCAGATAAAATGCACAGCTCCTGGCGCAGCTCTTGAGCACCCACCCAGACACCTCCGCTGATAATGATGCTCTGATGCTGTCCTGATGCTGTAACCTGCTGCCTCTTTCAGCCGTTGCCTGGCCGTGCGTAATGGCATTTTGACAAATTATCTTCCCATAAGCCATAAATACACACACTAACACACACACACACACACACACACACACGTGAAGGCAGCCAAATCGTGTGGGTTTGCCAGTGCTGAAGTACGAGCAAGAGTGTGTTGGCTTAAGGGCTCTGTTGGATAAGGCTAAGAGTTCATATCGAAATGAATGATGCCCACGAAAAGCTATATAATTTAAGATTATTTTAATATAAATTTGCCAAATATTTGCCAGAGTATCCCGCTGCTGGTCGTGACATTTCTGCCAAGATTTTGTTGTTGCTCTCACTTGAAGAGCTTGACTAAGAAGTTGACTGCGCAGTTCCCTGCCGTGAAGTGTCTCTAATTTTTGCTTTCATAATTTGCCATAAAATCCACACGTTCATTTACAAATCATTTATCATAATGCCGACAACGCAGCTGACAAAGTGGCTTTACACACACACTCACAAGCAGCAACAGCAGCAGCAGCAGCAGCAGCAGCAGCAGCAGCAGCAGCAGCAGCAGCAGCAGCAGCAGCAGCAGCAGCAACAGCAGCAGCAGCAGCAGCAGCAGCAGCATCCGAAGAGAGAAGAGGCACTGCATACATAAAAAGGACAGAGAGAGAGAGAGAGAGAGTGAGAGAGAGAGGGAGAGGCAAAGCGAGAGTGGCGTGATGGGTGTGGCGAGGTGGCAATAAGATACCACTTGCGACTTTAATAAAAGTTTTCTTGCTCTGCAAAAGGGGGAGGGTGGTGGTAGAGCTGCCACACAGTTTTTTAGTTCGTTACCCGCGCCTGAGTGGGCGTGTGGCCTGGCTTGGTGCGTTATCCTATGCCTGACCATTTCTTGCACTTTAGCGAAAAAGTTGCTCATCGTCCTCGTTCACGTTCTCATTTGCCAGGTCTCTTCATTTAAAGCGATGAAACGCACTGTAGTTATTAAGCATTCCACGAAGACCAAAATTAAATTCGCTTTTATTTTAAATATTTGTTCAAGCTGCCACTGCCTCGGATTCCTTTAATTTCCACCTTTCTGTGAGCTGATGAGCTCAAGAGCAAGACTTGAAGAAGGTGAGAGAGAAAAGTGTCAGTGCTTGACGTCATGGCTCTACTTTTACCGTTACACTTGCAGCTGCTGACTCTTGATACCCCTTTCATTTTCGAGCATAAGAGCATATTGTTGTCCAGGGGAAAAAGTGTGCAAGCAAAATTAAATTACTTTCACAATTAAATTTATACAAAAATGTCAATTTCGTATATTATAAAATTGTATTATGGCGTATAATTGTAGAGTATTTGTCTAGTCAAAATGCGGTGCATGCAGCACTGCGTACTTTTTTGGTTGTTGTCTTATTTTTAGCTTCTCGTATTGCTGTTTGAGCTTGTTTCCCTTTTTTTGCCTTTGTTGTTGAGGCTTTGCAAAAAGCGAACTGGAGAAAAGCAAAGTGGGTGTGGCACACAGACACTCAGCAGAACACTTTCACATGCACATATGTATGTGTGTACACACTCATTCAAGCTAAGGTGAGATGGTGTCTGAGATTCTTACACCAAGGTTGCACCACAAGAAAGTAAAAGCAAAAAAGAAAAGCTACGCCCGTTGAGATTTAGTGATAGAGCACACACACACATGCACGTATGCATATGAACATTTCACTCGAGAGTTTGAGGTAGGAAACCCCTTAACTAAGCCTCATTTGAGTGCCCGCTTCCGAACGTAAGAACCCGCTTTTCATTGCCTACTTTTTGGCGCATCAAAATCATTCATTCGCAAGGCTGCAGCTTCGGCTGAGGCCCTAAGCAACCAACCGAATAAACTGACTAATGAAGTGCAGATAATACTGCAGAGAGCACTATTTGGGGATTCATATTTATGCGAAATAATTCAATTGGATTGATTCAACTATCGAAAATGAGCGACAAGTATATGGCACTGTTTGCCTTGTAAACTTTTGCAATATTTGCAGAATTGCAATCATAATGATCGCATCAGGGCATCAATCAGACCCTTTCCCTTGCTCTTGCCCACGTGTTTGCACACTCTGCAGGATATAAAAAATCAATTAGCTTTCGCTCGAGTGCGCAACTTTTGCAGGCGTTTTTATGGCTTGTCCCAACCCCCTTTCGGCCAGTCAGCCTCCATTTTCATTTGCAATTATTACGCATAATTTGCCAGGGGGGGCCCACCACCAGAGGTCGCTAATGAAACAACTGTTGGTGGCTGGAGCATTTTTTCATTCTCTTCTTGCTGGCGCTGTGGCCTGCGTTTTTACGATGCGTACGAGTTGAGTATGGTTGAGGAGACTTACCCAGTATGACGAGGCCATTGCCGAGGAGTCCGGCGAAACCAATAATGCCAAAAAAGACGGGCACTATGGTGGATACAATGCGCTCCAAGGGCCAGCTATCCGGATCATAGTCCATCGAATCATTCGCATGTTGGTCGTTTGTGAATAGATAATTACTCGAGTTGTTGCCATAGTTGTTGTTGATGGTGCTGTTTTCATAGTTGTTCATGTTGTTCATACTGTTGCTTGTGGCCCCCTCACTGGCCAAAGGCCAACTGCTAATTAGGGCGCCCAACAATAGGGCCATGGCCAGGCTTTTGCCCATTTTGATGCCTCTCCTACTATATGGTATACCTTCTATATCTTGACTCAATCAGACTTTGTATTTTTATTTGTATTTGTATTTGTAGTTGTGTGTGCGCGCTTTTCGTACAGAATTTTAATTGGTCTTCTCCGTTACATTCTTCAGTGGAATTTCACTTTTTGCGGGTGCATATATTTCATCATGTTTGTGTAACATTTTCACAGTTGTAGCACGCCCTGAAAGAGAGACAAATTGAGGAGTGATATGATAAATATGTACACGTATATCTGTATGTGTGTGTGTGTTTTATCGACACATCTCTAGCTGTGGGCACAAGTCAGATACTCGCCATGGCTGCGGAAGGATGGGTGGACTGTATTTTTGCTCGCTCAAATAAATGCAAATAAAGTGTGGCCTACCATGGTTGACCAGGGGAAAAAAGAACGCCAATGATTCGCTAATTGAGTGACGGAAGGGACAATAAAAACGTAATCGAAACGTGCATTTTTTCAGGTACATCAAAGTTACATCGTTGGCATGGAGGTTGTACAAAATACTCTGTGGAAAAACAGAGCCAAGCCTAATATTCGTTCCACTGTTCCAAAGCCTATCATCTGCATAGTCATGTAAAAATTATGCAAAAAATAATTTAATTCCATTACACGAATGGGCCAATTCGGGGCATGCCAGAGCGGGGTAGAGGTGCATGGAAGAGAGCTGTGGGAGAGAGAGAGAGAGAGAGAGAGAGAGAGAGAGTGGACCTTGGCAAACATTGATCACATTTGCATACATTAATAAATAACACTGATGTCGAAATCAGGGCCAATGTCGGAAACTCAGGGCTGTGTCAAAACACACACAAAAAAAGCAGAAGGAAAAAAAAGGAAAGCACATTACGCCACGTGCTGTGTGCATCAATTAGCCAGGGAAGGATACATAAATATGTAGAAAAATATAAACATATTCGTACACATGTTAGGATCCAACTCATGCCATGTTGCTGCCATTGAGCCATTACACTCGAATTGCTGGAGGGCCTGCAGGACGGGACAGACAGGACGAACTAATCGAGGAGACATATGGGCTGTCATGTCGTGTCTGAAATGGCACGCACCAAGGGCTGACAGTTGGCTTAAGCTGTCAATTAACATATTATTAGGCGACTAGCAAGCAAGCAACAACAAAAAAGAACAGCATTATATGCTGCCGCTGATGAAGAGCGCAATGATTTGATGGCATCGCATAATTGTGTACGAATCTCTGGATGTTATTTCATACAACAAACTGCAAGAGAAACAAGGCCACAGCAAAATTCCATATACAAAGTACAGAAATGTTCCCTCCCTGCAAATGGCATATGACTCACTCAGAAGACGATTGACGACGACTCAGCATGGACGATTCGTTGGCGGAATAAATGTGGAGAAGAAAAAGTAGATGCAAAAGTGGAGCAAGGCATTAGCATCAAATTGGTATTTGCAGCAGAAAATTGGACCCCGACTGTGTGCATAAGTTTTGGCAGACAGAAAGACAAACATAAATTATGCAGATGATATCTGGAGGCTCGAATTTTGCATGATTTCTGTTTGCGCATGCAACAAATTGGCATTTTCTGGCCGAGTGACAAGCTGAATTATTGCTTTAATTAAATCCGAAAGCGCAGTAATTAATCCGCAATGTTTTTGCCACTGCGCATTCATTATATTTATTTGCTTAACGCTGTCCAAAATAAGTGTGTACTCAAGCTGGCATTATGGACTAGTAAACGGTATTTAATGTTGAAGTCTTTTAAATCAAATCGGCAAGGAGGAGCCATTAGATGCCGGAGTGGAGCTTGGAGCTTGGAGCTTGGAGCTTGGATAATGGGAATGTGTGAGGGTGAGGGTGAGGGTGAGGGCAGACGCTCAACGATTTATGTTGAGCATTTTAAGCTGTTTTGATTTACAGCTTCTCCGGGCGCATTTCGCTCTGCGGCAAACTGTTTATGGATTAAGAGGCGAATAAAAGAGCTCCAGAAGAGCGTCCATCCGTCCATCCGGCAATCCTCGTTTCAGTGGCTCTTCCTGTGTCTGTGTCTGTGTCTGCGTCTGTGTGAAAGTGTCACGAGGGCAAACCGGCCATGAAATTGAATTTGTTAGTTGTTCAGTGCCGCGGCGAAAGGCCGCTCTGCAGGGCACTCGAGGCACACAACAATGTCCGTTTTTGGGGCACTGGGATTATCTGATTCATGGATGAAAAGTGCGGAAAGATTTCCAAGTCTAGCTAAAAACTTACAAATATATTTGTGCTATGTTATGTCATAGCCCACAAGATATTTCGACCTTTGACTGCTTCACAAGTGTATTTAAAATTATTTATTTATAAACCAACGACTGGAAGCATCATTTAATCGATTCATAAATCATGTATGGCCACTGTAGTGCACAGATCTGTATCTCGTCTGCGTCCTTCCAGTGACAATCCGCTGCAATTAGTCAGTCAATTTTTATCCGGCTGTCGCGCTGACTTTGATTGCAGCTGTGAATCGTCATGGATATGCATAGCTAATCCGATTCGAAGCACAAAAACGAATTGGTATATCGAGCTTGGAGATTGCAGATTGGTGAGTCGACAGCAAATCCACTTAATGCCCATCACTTCGCATGTTCAATTATGTCTTTGAGTCTATTCATGACAGCTTAAGCTTTTCAGCTGGCTGTGCACCAGTGCAGTGCAGTGATTCGCCATCATTCACATCAATGCCACGCCACACACTCACACACACACTAACCCAACCCCAGACAGTGAATCAGTCAGTCAGATGGCGAGATTACGTATACGCAGAATTGTGTGCACCAAAAAAGAACTTCGTAGCAGCACTGCCTCACTGCAACACATGCAACACAATGCCCCAGAGTCTAGAATCCAGAATTTAGAGCCACAAATGCAAATTGCCTTTGGGATCCATGGGCATGGCCATCGCTCGTATTTCCTAAAGCAATTCCACTCAGCCCTGCCGCAGCCACGTCAATCAATTGTGGGCCATGACAACCCTATTGTAGGCATCGGTGAGCTGATTATTTCATTTATTTCAATTAGGACTGGCTTGGGCCGGGGGCTGGGGCTGGGACTGGGGCTGGGTTGGCTTTTAGCGTGAGCAGACCGGGGTAGCCCGGGGGTCCTGGGCTCGACTTTTGCCGCTCATGTGGCTTTTATGAACGCTGCCGTTCAATCTAATTGCGTTTTTATGGCCTGAGTGCGAATCATAAAAGCAGCAGAGCAGAAGCACAGCCCCATGCCAGAGCCTTGGAAGCTGAACTAAAGGCAGTGGCGAGGCAGCAGGAAATAGGCAACGGGCAACGGGCAACGGGAAACAGGCAACAGGCAACAGAAAGAGCCAAAGGCAACAGAGCAACTGAAACAACAAATTCCATCATAAAATTAGATGCCTAGCTGTAGCCGCCAATAAGCAGGCAGCATCTGTTCTAAATTAAATATTAATAATTAAATAACTCAACAAAAAATGAGGAAAAAACCAACGAACGAACGAACGAACGAACAAAGCCAGAAACGCAGCACTAAACACCCTTTAAAATCGCTTATTACTGCGGCATATAATGTAACAAATCTCTGGCGGGGATTTTTTTATGGGTATAGTTCATAATTTATATAATAAAATGTACTTATGTGATCGTGGAGGTGGGCTGAGCTCTTTAAAAGCTACAAAACATTCCTAAATTATTTGCTAAGCATAATCGTGGACCTTTTACTTCAGAGTACACCCAGAACAAGCTTCAACAAGTCTTTAAGGTTGCTGTCGCTGCCAATGCGGCGTATGAGCAACGCAAAAACTTTTCCCAGCTCCATGGCGAATGGGTTGACTGTGTCTGTGTGTGTGTGTGTGGGTGCGTGGGAAATTGCGGGAGGTTGAGTCAGTATGAATTTGTGTGTGTTGTTTGCGGCTGGCAAATGTGGTTAGTCCATTAAAGAGTGGCATGCAATAGAGAACGATGCGATGCGGCAAGCGCTTTGATTATAAAGTGCCCACGAGGCAGGAGCAGGGGAAGTATAGAAAGAAATCAAAGCATTTACAGCTCATAAAAGTGGAACAATCGAACAGTCCTGTAAATATTTATCTATGTAGGAGCACTCGTATGTGTCAGCAGCATAACAATAACCCTTTTCAATTCGTTTTATTACACCGCAAGAGCGGAAAGTAAAACCAATAATAATCTGTGTGCATGGCTGCCTTCAAGCTGTTCGAGTAATTGTCCAATTAGTTGTTCAACCTCATAATTGTGTGGAGTAATCAATGCAATAAATCGATTATTACTCGCTGATCAACTGAGTAACCAGAAGCCATGCTGCCATGGTGCCAGGAAGCTTTGTACGAGGAGCCTGTACTCGACTGCACGCCCACATTTCGCATCTGTCCGACTTCCACATTCACAGCCACATCCACATCCATTAGAGCGCATGCAGCGAATGCCGTTTGCTGCTTGTATGAAATGAATATGCCATTGAAATATTTGCATTGCCAGGCAATGGCAGTGGCAAACGGCAAACAGCAAACGGCTAAAAGCAAATGTCGTGTATGGTGGGATGGCACAAAGGAGAGGCTGGTAGACCGCTTCGGCAGCGGTATAGGTGGACGACCATCATGGCATGGCGTATGCTTAATATTGACATTATGGGTTGCATTTAATTGGAACAGGAACTCAGTCATCCATCCATCCCACACAACGGCACATTTGAATGACGCTTTATGTGCCATTTGCCAGTCGCCCGTCTAAAGGGTCCTTCAAACAAATTGCCTATGGAATGGACAGAGTGCAACGCCAAAAAGCCACAAAAATGTAATTAAAGCCCGGCGACATTGATAGCTGAAATGACAGATTGTCACCGCTAAATTCATTCAAAATGCGCATAAAATCCAAAAAAATTACAGGAATAATCGTACATTTTCGTCATTTATAAATCGCATTTCATTTGGGTTTCCCTTTCGCAATTGATTGATTGATTGATTGGTTGAGCACCGACGAATTATCAACATAATTTATGAACAGCAGAAAAAACTAAATCATTTCTTGTATAATTTGTCGTGCTTCCAATTACAACCATCACCTACCAACCTCTCTGTCAATTTCATGGCCATTTTTAAAGCCAGATGGAGCCAAAGATGGATAATGGAAAACCTAAATCAAAACCCAATCAACCCACGAAGAAAACCAACAACCCGACGTCTGACGACC